GGGTGCCCTTTTCGTATGTTAATAAATAATTAGTATCTCCCTTCTTTTTACGTGATGAGGTTTGCTATCAATAGAGATTTCGAATTGATTCGGCTGCAGCGGCAACTGATAGAAAAACAAATGAATCACAAAAGTCTGCCATCTAGACTGAATTCAAAGGAGCAACGTTTGAGAATGGTTAAGACGAGTGGTCCAGATCCTGAAACACCCTTCAATCGAATCAATAAAAGTATTAAGGATGATATCAAAGCTGGTTCTGAACAATGCGGCAATCTTCAGGTTTGTTTGAATTTGTTCTATTAATGTGGCATTTGGTAAAATTTAATGAAAACCAACATTCGGAACCTTTGTCAGTTTATTTATCCCCAAGCCGATCTAGTTACCTTTGAAAAATATGAACAACTTAAAAACTCACTTTGATTTTGTGAGCAATGTCGATAAAACACATTGGCAATTAAACAGAGCAGTGTAAATCTAGATCATTTACCTTGTGCTAATATTTGATGCATATTTTACCATGCCTCACATTTATTTGGAAATTTTGTTTTTTATTGGGTGGTGTCTCATGCACCCACTATCGTACTGATATGAGATAACTTAATTAAAAGGGTTATTTCTCTGCTGTGCTTTATGCATGAAAAATTTTCCCAAGTTTTGTGGATTTCAATTAGCGTTTTTGGAAGCCGTAATTTACCTTGTACTTAATAGTTAGGTTTATAGTGTCATTTCAGGTTAATATTTATTTCTGATGAGCGCATGCTATGCCTATACGTAGCAGTCACAAAATACGGTTCAAAATAGCCAAGTGACAAACGTGGATATATTTATTGGATTAATTATGTTAAAAATATTCATGTCGCACCAGTGAAAGTTTCGATTCTGTTATTCGCAGCTTGGCTTGAACTGAATTTGCATCAGCAGTATCCGTTATCGCTATTTAAATCATTCACATCATTTCTCAACATCAATGCGACCGTGTTTCATTAATAACTATAAGGGATTTGTGGGGTTCTGTTTTGGACATCTATTATGGCAGTAAATTTCATCAATAACGTAAATGTGCTTGCAAAGTCAAGGTAAAGTGCGTTCAAGGCTAATTACTAATTAGAAACGTCATGACGGGTCTGAAGGCATGCTAATAAGTTGCGCTTTTGTTTTAGTCCGAAGGTACCGCTGCTAAGCATCGAAGGAAAAACGAAATTTTGCGAGAGACAGGCGAAGAACTGCGAAAGTGGGTACCATTTCCTACAGATGCCTTTTGTGCTATTTTTACTAAAAGCTCTGGTCTGAAATCAACCATGGCTTTTGACCTCTGCAAGACCTTGAACCTATCAAATTCAACGTAGCTGCTCCCAGAGGAAAGTTATTACGATAAGTAGTGCTGCTAGAGTTCAAATAGCAAAAATTACTCCTCAGTAGCTTGAACGAATTAAACGCACACTGGTTAAAATGTATGACCGCTATGTCCTACTAAATGGGCAAGTGAATGATAATGCTCCATCAAAGCCACCCAGGAGAGGTGGTTACAGTGTGCTCAAGCACGCAAGGCTTTTAGCATCTATTTCATTTTTAGGTTTTTTTATTTCATGTTCACTCTATGAGCGGTGTGTTGTTTTAAACAGTTACGATATTTTGTTGATGCTCCAGGCTTCGCATAGATTTAGCCATTTTGAGTTAGGTATTTTTACGTGTAATCGGTACTGTGGCACCCAGCATAGTTTTAGCGACACTTGAAGAGCCAACCTATAGCTTCAGTTGATTCAAACTTTCATAAAGGCTTTCCAGAGTCTGCTGGTCGTAGTAACCTCTGTGTTTAGCATCGTTCGTGGGGTTTTCCTGTCTGTGCAGTTCACACCCACCCACACACACACGATAGGCAGATTTCGCTTTATCTATTCGAATGACCTGTGCTTTGAATCCGTACTATGTTAACTTTGTGTCCTGTCATCTGCATACTATGACTCTTGCAAATTAACATGACTCAAAGTAATTTACCAACTCCCTAGAACCAACAATGAGGGATTTCGTTTCGATCAGATTTTCTTATAAGCAACTCTCCTTCACAGCGTTTATGGATACCAAACAGATGGTGAACTTTGCTTTGTGTTACGTCTGCGTGTAACATCAGCCAAGCTATACATTGAAGAATTTGGTGAAGTCATAGGAACTAAGAGTACAAAGTTTAAAATCGATGTAAATTATATTTCTAGGAATCCCGCATCTGAGGGTGTTACAGGAACTGGCTGGACCTCTTGACTCCGAAAATCACCTGCCTCCTAAGCACTTTTACTCCTTGACCCAAATTTTTTACACAAACCAATCATGTAATCTTTTCTACCTTTAATTCACAACGAAATCCCATCACATCTTGCTACTCTCACGACACAATACTCAGTGCCTGATTTTTTCGAAATTCAAAAGACAGGGAATCCGCCAACTCAACAGTCATTGCTTCTGTCACTGATAACTACTTCATTTCAAGAACTCACAGACCGAGTTCCCAACTAAACCGACACCAACCAACTAACCGTTCGACGTGTGAAAGGTGAATTTATAGTCGAATATAATGATTACTCATGACTGGACCTGCTAAGAGTTTTTCCCTTAGCTACTGAGTCGCAACTACATTTTAGCTGTTCAATAAACATCGCTCAAATGTCGAATCACATGGTATTGCACAGTTTAGCTACATAAAATTAAGGAATATCCTATTATATTCTACTGAAATATACTAAGAATCAATTTATTGCCAATATTTTTGCATTCAGTGAGGTTCATGGTCAGTTTAGGGCCAAAGGCGACGTGATCTTGTTAGCCACAATGTAAACATCATGGCTTCCTTTGAAGGTTCGTATGTGGCATATTGCGACCTCTGCCTCGAAAGTGGAGCACTTATCTATGTTCAGTTGACATCCTTATTTCTGCTGACCGTCTCTGCCAATTTGGCCGTTCTTGCGCAGATTTGCTTAGCCTCTATTATGAGCCAGAAACCAGGCTATACCCATTTGCTTCAATTCCCTTATTGGCACTCATGAACGCATCAATAGATCTGCTGACCCAAAGGTTTTTCCAGCATTTCAACGTCAAGCAATATGATTCCCTTTTGGAGAATTCTGGTTCGGTCGCATTGCTCGTTGTGGGAATGTATCTCCATAAACACCACCGACTTCGCCAGAATACATCAAGATTCCCGGAAGTATTTATAACACTATCACATAATATCCTCTTGTTGCCTTAACGTCTGAAGTAGCTAATTGCTGTATTTACCCGATTGCACCAAAAACTGGTTCTTATAACACCAAGCACAGTAAAACCACGGAATTATCCTTCTCTCAGGTCGAGCTATGGTACCACTCAACCTCATACTAGCCGCCACGCAGACAGTTCCAGTGTGTGTGGTGGTTTCCGTAATACCTTAAGACCACATTCGTTACGTTCCGAAGTATGCATCGCTCATTTAACACGTCATTGCCTTCATTTTCTGAATTGACGGTTGCTGACAATATTTGCGCTACTGACCGCAGCGTTTCAGCAGTATAATTTACGGTAGCGAAAGTAGAGATTAAAACCTACATTTCGTGCAGTGATTGCACAGAGCGAGTAAATGTAAAAACCCAGTGTGACCTGACGTTTTGCCATATACGGACGACCAACTTCAAATCGTATCCTGATGTTAACAAGACGTCTGCAATAAAGGACGCAACAAGAACATGAAAACTAATTATTAACCTTTTTTACAAGCGATTTGGGAGAGGTCACTGTTCTGCCGTGAACCCCACTTAATTGACTAGATCGCTTGTCTGTAAGCAATTCCAATAAGGTACTGCTTAGATGAATCCAGTTCTGTTTGGTATACAAAAGCCTTCTCAAGCATACTAGGAACCATTTGAGGTTTCCCAATATTGCATTAAAAAGGCCAACACCGACACAGTAAATTAGTAAAAACCTGAATACAGACATTGCCAAATCATCCTCATCAGAATGAAGCTCATGGTCAAGTAGCAAATGTTCCAGAGTCGCAGTGTAATAAAACACGAATTACAATTCACATGCCTAGACTTAGGGAAGAATGCCAAACACGGCTAAGACAGGTTACACGTAAGTAAACATGTGCGACTCAACTCATACTCGTACGGTACATTACCATTTCCAGCACGACTTCTACGAGTTATAGTCTACAGTCAAATCAGTTTAACGAAAACATTCCTGTTTTTGAATACAGTGTCGAAGCATCTGATTAGTATGTTAAAAGAAGAGTTGTTCGCAACGTCAAACTCAAACACACTTTAAATCAAATAAAATCGCTCGTAAACCAAGCCACGAAACGAGGCAATACTAGACGTAAGAACGCCGGTGTCGAGACCTTCTAGTAGCATATTAAGTTTCAGGATACAGTTTAAAACATGATCGTTTGCAAAAAAATGACGACTTGTTCAGCAAAGAAATTAAGGAAGCATAACAACCAATAGACAGCACAGAAAAAGTGCTCATAAGACACATAAAGGAAAACTTGGGCGAAATAAACAATTCAAGAACACTCCCATTTACAAGGCATACCAATCTGTTCCCTTTAGGGCATCCCGTGACGGAAAGATGGAACAACACATTTTAAGACCACAGCAAGTCAATTCTTTAATGATTTGCCACATCTCTAAAAACTTTACACATCTTAATTTGGAGAAACCCATAAGGAACAAAACACCATCGTAGTCTTGGAAAGTGAAAGCGCACAGCTAAACCAAACTTTGCCATGCTGGAGGGTATCCAGTTACGACAAACGGCAGGATAGAGGCACTAACTTCACAAAAAAACATCAAAAGAAGAGTTAGTAATTGTGGACGCGACTGCGAGTTAGGATAACCACCGAGTGACATCACACCACAGCTAGCTATTACCTATTAGGAAGGCCACGATCTAAAGCCTTTTGAGTATCACACGGCATAAAACTTAAGGATACAAAGGAACCACACCATGTGCAAGCCGATTTATTGGTACTTAAGTTAAAAATCATCAGCTTTCATTGCCTGACGCTTTAACTTTTTCTTCGACTCCTTCTTTTTGATCGGTTGTCCGGCGGTAGGCGCAACCTTCGGGACTACATCCTCCTTGGTAGCCAAGATGACTTCAATGTGGCAGGGGTAGGACATGTATGGATTGATTCTACCATGGGCACGATATGTTCGACGCCGCATGGGTGGAGCGGGATTAGCCTAAGCGGATACGTAAGAACAAATAAATATTACCTGGATGTGTTTGATGTAAAGGCGGCTAGCTTCGCCCCCTTTGATATCCTTGTTAACCCCATTACTGAAGGCGTTGTGAAGAAGATGCAAAAGCATCTCGGCAGATTTCTTCGGCCACCGGCCCTGTACAACACCCCACACCTTTGCCTGGGCATGACGGCCAACGCTACCATTAAATCGGCGAAAAGGGACAATCTCCTTCTTGGCGATCACATTTTTCAAATATGCTTGGGCACGCTGGAGGGTCATGCCCTGAAATACACTTATATTTGATAAAATCAAATATACCTTAATTGCCTTGCAGCATTCATGAGTATTCTTGAAATGCACACGCCAGTAAGACCCGCGGGCTTTGCAGGTGCGGGACTCATCCTCCGCTTTGGGTTCCCAGGAATACTTACCCATCACAAGCTAACACATGTAAGAACTCAAAAAGTGCGCTGGACACATTAGACCGACAACTTTAACACAACGTTCATTTCAAACATGTAAATCAAAACAATTATTAGTTGAAAAAAAGGTTAAGCAATAATGTTGGTAATACTATTGCCTTATTTATTAATTTGACCAAATTTGTTTGACGACAATTAAAAATTTTTTATTATATAAACTGATAAAATATAGACTGCCACATTCCAAGACACGAAATTGGTTGCTCATTAATGCGTGAATTCTAATGCTTATGGTGGCATTTAGGGTTTGTTACTAAAGTATGGCAAAATTACATGCAAGGCCAATATCTGAGTTTTATTCAAGAGAATTAAAAGGGCTTAAATATAAATTAGGCTGCTTGTTGGCTTGGATCCAACTACCGTGCTTGCTTTTTTTAGTGGAAGAAAATACTGTACTATGCGAAATTTTTATTGATAAATTGAAACCTCGCCCTCTGATGTTGTAAAGTTAAGGTGGATATTATTACCATTATGTGCTAAAGGATTGTATATAGTAAGTAAGTAAGTGTTCTAGTAAGTAAGTAAGTAAGTAAGCAATCTAAGTATTCTGGTAAGTATTCTAGTAAGTATTCTATTTATCACTAACATGTGGTATTGGATTTCCCTATTAACTCATGCATTATCAAACTCAACTTTTAGTAGTATGTCTTCAGTGATTTACAAGAAATAGATAAGTAAAGCTTATACATAAATAACATGGGTTTTAGCATTGATATACTAAAAAGACCAGTTCAATTACAAAAGAGAGGCACATTGACAGATCTCAATTAAGTAAATTAATACAACCTTAACTGATGACATGAAAATTTAATAAAATTTTGGTCCACCAAAACGTATCATTTTATGCAACTAAACTTAATTTTGAAAGAAATGTATTTGACAAAACTATACAGTTCGTCAAATGTGTAAAAAGCTGTAGAAGTGTGAAAGCAAAACCAAATTTACTTATGCAAATTGATTGGCAAATTCGTCAACACTAAATGTCTTCAATTAAAATTAAAAACGGTGTTCACTCACTTTTAAATATCTTAACCCATGAAATGTTGTTAAATGACATTTTGGTAAGAGGATGTGAACCATACGGATTTTGATCGCTACTTTCAGCAACGTCTCAGGTTCCAAGTTAAAGTACAAAAAGTGATGAAGCCTTAGCATTGAGGATACCATCACTTTTGCCCAAAAGTATTTGTGCATAGCTGTGAACAATACTAACAATGACATTTCTTCAAAAGAAAACAACAGTTTAGCAAATTCAATCCTAATTGGCTCCTAACAGATTTCGATTCCATAAAAAAATGTTACTAAGTCCAGTGGGGTCTGCTTAAAGGAACTGCTTTTGTCAAGTGTAATTTTAGTTTATGATTTTCAAAATAGTTATATAATCTGTCGTATTTTGGGTGGGTTAAGATTTGTTGATGAATGTTTTAAATAGTTAGAATTACAAAGAATCCTTCTTTGTCATATCGGCATGAATAAAGCATCCTATTCTGTTGAAGAAAACTTTTAAGCTGTGCGTTAGTTTTAAGACATAATCACGCAAATACTTCCTTTTTGAAATTAAAAAAATAAAGTAGGAACGAATAAAACAGCGAGCTGACATCAATTTCTGTAAAAAATATTGCTCTGATATCTACGTTTGGAAACATGCATCGCTCATTCAATACATCATTGTCTTCATTTGCTAAATTGATGGCTGCTGACAATACTTGTACTACTGGGGTCATAGTGTACCCATGCGATTACTTTGAGAAGCGTCATGGGCATTCCATAAATTTGTTGGTTTCACAAATATATGTTCATGTCTCAACGGTCAGCGACGTTGGTGCTAGACAAAAATATTACACATTTTTGTCGGTTGGTCACGATAGCAAAAGTTGAGATTAAATTATGGGACCCTGAACTGGTTATCAAAATGCTTGTTTTAGCACAAGGCACTAATGAAAATTGTGAATAACTACACACACCATTTTTGTTTCTTCATTCCAGTAAGAAACACATATTTTTACAAGTTTTTTAAGAACGCCTTTTTATCAAATTCCTAACATCACGCTCTTTTGATGTCCACATCGTTGTTTCACTTTAGACCGTAATGTTCCGCCTCTCTTGACAGTCAGGTATTTTGCGTCTGGAATTACTTTTGGCGACATATATTTTTTCACGATGTCGTATATGCTTGTGGGCTGTGAGTAGCAAAGCGTTGATAGTAGTACTGTTTTTTGTTTTATGGAGACTTCTCGATTAATACTCTTTCCGTCAAATTTCCAGTTTTTTCATTTGGCAGTTTCTGCTTTGATCATTGAATACACAGTTTACACAGCAACAAAGGTAATGAAACACGAAATAGTGACTTACCTTATAACTTTTTCAAGGCTCTGTTTACTGACGTCATTGAACCTGTTTTCGCTGGGTGGTCCGTGAACTTGGCGAGGGTGCTTAAGAGGACCACTTAAATGCAGCATATTTTATTTAACAAAGGTTCGGATATAGCAGAATTTTGCCTGTAGAAGTTCCTGGTAGTGTAGCTAACGAGGAGCAGCTTTGTTATTGTCGTAAATATTGGATGCCTATCTTCTAATCTCCATGTGTAAAAATTTCACTGTTAGGTAACGCCTAACTTTTATGTCTTTGTTTGTATCGAGTCGAGATTTTAAATACATCTCAAGCAATTCATACCATATATCTGTCAGTTTAACAATCTTGTCCACAGTGCTAGTCAGTTAAAATGACTATAACCTTTTGTATTGGGTCTTTGTAATGCGCATTTTGAAAACGGATATAATTGGTATTGGTTTCGCTTAAAACTTTGCCTTTAGGGATTATTTCCTGGTTTTTTCCATTCAAATATATGAATAGTGACCTGAAACTTGAACACCATCGTTCCGGTTTTTATTTCCGTTGTTAGGGTTAGGTTTACACTGAATGTTCCTCCAGTATGAGCCAAAATAACTCACACGAGGCATTAACACACCCGGACCTAAAGCGAAAACATCCCGAATGCGGATCTAAGTCAAAAGAATACCCTGTTCCCCTGTCAGCTATTCCGGTTCCTCCACCACCATTATCTACGAAACCTGCAGCAACGGTGGATCCTGAAAAACCCCCAGTTAAACAAAGACTTCCGGCCAAAAAGATTTGTCTCAGTTTACCCAGCCAGGTTTGTGTCTGCCTGAGTCCACCTGATGACACATGTGCAGCCCGTTTCAGATTCCGCCAAGAAAGAGAGTCGTAGACTGAAGCCAGTGAGCGGTGATGTGGCAAAAGTCTTCGGAGACGACGATGAGGTACGCTTAACGTATCTCCTTACCCTTTTTATGCAACGCATTTTTCTAGAGTGAGGAAGAAGAGATGCCGATTGAAGCTCGCATCCGAATGCGGAATAAAGGAAGGTACCTACTTTTTGATCACTATTTAGGGTTCGGTCTACTGGTATTTCTGTTAGATATTTTACAAATATTTTGTCATCAAAATTGAGTGCTTGACTTAACTTAGTAATTATGGAAAGTTTACTTTTGAGATTTGTGATTTCTGCTTGCATTTTGCCTGTAATACGTCACTAAATAGTTGCACCAGTTGTATGAACCTGCAAATTGCCTTCATGAAAGTTATTGCGTTCTCCAAACACTTGGACATAATAGATGATTACTAACTGTTCGAAGTGTTTCACTGAACCCGCCATGTCATCACACCTGAGTTAATCAGGTTTTTTGTTTTGGTTGGAAATGCATTCAATGTTTGTCTATAAATTTCTTTATTCACCGATAACAACTGTTTTGACGTGAGTATCCACGTATTTACAGCTTACTTTAAGCGATGAATTTGCTTATCTGTGTATTTTATTGATTCATCATTCTTAGAGAGACACCAACCTCCTCAGGACCCAATTCATTCGGGAAGGGTCGTTTTGGTTTTGTTGATCGGCGGGCTTTGTTGGACCGCCAGTTGGAAGCACTAAATGAACAGGTTTCCGGTGATAACGAGGACGGATGTGGAACCCCATGATAGTTGTGCTTATTTTATATGATATTTGTATGTGTAAAATTATTGAAGATGAGCATAAAGTTCCTTATTTGAAATGATTTACATTTAAATCTGAGGAATGGATTCTGGATAGATGCAGTTTATCCGAAACGGAAACACATCATAGCAGAAATCTACAACTCTTGGCGGCGCCTAGGCAAGATGTAAAGATAATAATACAAGAAGAATTGAGTCGTTACTACGGTTAAGTACTTGTGTCGTAACTCTGAACAATATAAAAGAAATATTCGGAGCTCGAACACAAAATATTTTTAAACAAGTGGCTAGGAATCAGCCAGCACTTGCATCATTGCTCCACAGCCAATCGAGGCCAGAGTAGGTACCGCGGGTGTTCTCTTATTTGTGGCTCTACGTGGCCCCTTGTTGGGCACATCGATGGGTAATTGTTCATTTGCAAAGTATTCCTCCCTACTCCGCATGGCTATTGCACGTGCTTGCTATCGGGTTTGCTGCATGATTTTAAGTTGTTACTTTTCGGGCTTAGCTAGTAGGAATGGCGGTTGGCGGTGTTTTATTTTTGTTTACTAACGCTTTCACACTAGTCTGAGTAATTGCTGCTTCAAGGTGGACAAGGGCAGTGCACATGCATGGCGCTGCTGTAAGTCTTAGACAGTTCGCATTTGTAGGGGTCGTTGTCCTGCCGCCAGTATTCACAATTTTGTAAACCTTAACTGTAGCAAGTCCGAAAACATCTGATCAGGCTTCAAAATCAAACGCACTACGAGCTTCTGTTTTTTAAAGTGTAAGATTTTGGATCACATACCGAATAGATTATACGACACAGAAGTTATGTCTGGCTGAGGAAAGGAAATATTATGAGGCGCCTCATCGGTTTTTGTTATCAGTGAGTTTTGAGGGAATCGGTCGCGACACAGAAGTGTAATGTATGGCTTAGATTTCATGTAAAATCTAATTACACTTGAATTTTTAAACCGCGCACGGCCGCATTCGACAATATCGACCAGAAATGCCTACGAGTATGGTGTTAGTAGTGCTAGTAATGATTGCAATTCTTCTGCCAAATGTCGCAAGCCTGTGCGGTTTCGGCAAGGTAAAGTATGCTGAGGCCTACTTGCGCTTTCCTCAAACGAAAATCATGCTTCCTGATAACGCGGAAGTCGGTACAAAGTGGTCGACTCCTGATGGACTATTTGATTGCGCTGTCTTCGGAGTCGGCTTCCCCAGCCTCGATAGTTTTGAGGTCAGCTGTTGTCATACCAATTCGTCCGACATTGCTCCGTGGGAAAAAGGCAAGAAACTGCGTCTTCTTCGAGGATTCCTTCAGATTTACATGGAGGCAAGTCTTGGATGAGATTAATGTACCATCAAACGCAAAAATTAAATAACACTTTTCCTCTACCTATTTTTTTGGGGACTTTTATACAAATGATGTTTTTTCACAATATCCCGGCAATGGTGTAAAAACTTATCACCAGAAATCCCGATTAGTTGTGTAATACATTAAGCATTGAAAGCAATTTAAAACGTTCACGATACAGCTAATGCACAAAAAGGTGGTTTTGCCTGGAGTGCTTGTTCCTGTACAGCTTTTCAGAACTAGTCAGAAGGGTAACCCAGAGTCAAGGTCCAGAGTTACCGAATCACAAGGAAATTGTGGCTTCCCGTTTGCTCCTGCTCTAAAGCCAACCTCTGTCAGCCAGAACCAGCACTGATCAAATGCTACCCAGATATTTTATTTTATGATATCGGTGTGGTAGCAACTACCTTGGCAAATACAGTTAAAATGAGCCACTATGCCATAATTGGTGTTAGGGTTCGCTGTTAATCGAAAGGGGACAGACTTATAAAGCCAAAAATGGATGCTTAGTGAGAGGCAAGGAACTATAAGACAGCGAAAGGGAGATCTGGTTTCCAAAGAATGCGAGTGCTTGTGTTATTATTATTGCTGTACAGCTCAATGTTAAAGCAGTTTTTCCGAAAACCTGGACCTCGTGTTTTGATTACGTGTCAGCACGGGTTGATGTTACTACTAAATTCTACCGTAATGTCTAGTGTTTTGGCACGCGCAAGTTCCTTACGTGGCTGCAAAATGCCGAGTTTTCATAACCAAAGTATGCTGGATCGGCAGTCTGGATCGTAAAAAGGAATCACCTCTAGACTCTCACTAATTTTACCTCAGCACACATCAGGTGAACATATCCTATTTTTTAGCTTATACATTGAGGCAATAAAGCATTGTTCGTTCGAATCCAATATTTAATGCTTTTCTGTTGCTTGGAATCGAATGGCGGTCGGTTGGTTTTACTCCAACACACGCCTTCCATTGACAACGACCACACAGACACACTTAGCTGAAACCAACGTACAAAAGGCCTTTTATCATACACTGGATATTTTATCTTCAGTTCTATGCATTTTGTCTTCATGATTCATAGCCATTTGAATAGTGAACAAATTCGAACGATAATCGATTGCATAACACTTTCGAGTTAATTGCTTGTCAGTCCAAAACTAAAATTCACATCAAGCTAGCCTCTTGGAGGACAAATTGTAGAGTGAAGGCGCTGTCGGCCAATTTATAGCAACCCAAGATAGAAAGCTAGGTGCATAGATCAGTATGATAAATCTGTTTTCTATAACGTAACCGCATTGTTTTCTGTCCTTATTTGAAATCCTTATGAATCAAAAATAGTGAACCATGATGTCTTGTCTGTGTACCCGTTTGGCGGAGTGAATTTCAACACAAAGCAATGGAACGCCATAATTTACAAGGGAAGAAGTTTTGTAAATTTGGATTCTAGATGTCACGAGATTACTTGAGCAAACCATTGACCACTTTAATACAAACTCAGCTTAGCCGTGAATTTCACCTACAGCTTTGCTCGGATGGTAAACAATTGTGATCGACCACATTTTTATGCACTGCCGCCAGATGTTTCGAGGCAGTCTGTTGTAAGCGTTTCGGCAACAAACTCGTCAAAGATTGTTTCTAAAAATACGACATCTGTTCCGGCGTTGAAATGTGGACGTGAAAAATTAGTACAAGTTAATCAAACATAGATCAAGGTTAGGTTAAGCCCAATATCCATAATAAACATCGACTTTGATCAAAAAGACAATCTTTATATTGAAATAAAAGGAGAATTTCAATAACTTGATCTGGTTGGTGAATCAGGTGGAAGACGTGAAGAAAATTCCGAAGAGTGCGGAGAGAACGAGGCCTCTCATGTGTAGGGAGAGTTACGGTACTTAGCGAAAACATCGCGATGAGTGAGACTTGAGTTGTGTTTGCGAAGCTTCGTTGACAAGCCAAAGAACCATTCCTCAGGTTGGAATAAATTGCTGGATATTTTGCGAACAGGTCGGGACTGACCGGAGGAGCTGCGCTTCAGTGCCTAAAAAATGCAAACAGGAATTCAATCGCCCGAACCTCCTCCACCACTACTGTCAGCAACACTCACAATTACCCAACCTTATTGGATACTGGGTACGATCCAGGAGTAAAAGCGGGTGTCAAAGTTGCTTGGATGGTGAAAATTACCATGGCTACTGATAAAGATTAAATTGCAGGCTGTGATGATCTAAATTTGATTCCACATAACTTGATGGTATTTAAATCGCTTTAAAGTTTCGAGGTAAGTTAAAAAGGGCCAACCTTGGGAGGCAAAGTCTGGTGCATTGACTCTTAGAACAAAATTTAACTAAATGGCCAATCAAACTCACTCGAACAAACGCAAAAATTTACTTCGGTGACTTACTCGTTGGACTTGCCTTTCCAAAATCTACAGTGAATTAACATACAAATATTTTCAAGGCACTGAATAATCATGTTAATTCGTTAGCTTTGTTAGATGTACACTGAGCAACGAAGCCACAGTAAACAGTAGTCAGCGATTAGATTTGAGAATTTACTCGGAAAGAGTGTTATTTCACAAAAGGGTTACAAACTAATGCAAATAATTGCGAAAGTACGGCTTCAGCCTGGTAGTTCCTCGTCGAAACGCTAAATCTAGTAACGGTGATGTTAAAACCGTCGTGTTACGATAAAAGTGGTCACACTAATGCCGGGCTGTGATGCCATTCACCGGTTCCTCACTTGGCTACTTGGGATATCAAGCATATTGCTAGCGCATCTGATACCATGATCCGGTAATCAGAGGATCTGTATTCAAACGTCTAACTGTTTGGTTTGGGCCTTGGGTTAGCTCAAATACTTTTCTTAACGATGAGGCTACTTACGTAATAAAAAAGACAGCCCAGGCAGAACAACACCAACCCTGACACTTTACGTCTACACAACATATTCGAGAAGTGCGAACACACATTTTGCCTGATTGATTTTTTGTCATAAAAACAAGTAATCGCAATGTGAGCTAAAGGGCGATGACTAAGATGAGTTCGTGGTAGACAACAAAGTTTGCGCTTATACAAAACAAGTATTACTGATGGCTTGCATTAATTGCATTTATTTTTAGCATTGTTAGGCATACGAAGATGCTGTCGTTGAAAAGCATTACTAGGCAAACAAACACACAGCTTGTTAGATAAAAGGAGTTAATTGCACGGTCACCATGGCTTCTAGGTCCCTCTTACTTGTGCCGTTTTTTTGGCGTTGGTGGGTGCTTCGGCTGTTAAAAAAGATATGCCATGACCTTGATGTGGCTGTTGAGGATTTGACGGTTTTGATAGATAAATCGACAGCAGTGACTTAAACGACTCGAGGACTGGGGGTAATGACTGAAATCCCCCCTCTGACTGAATACGAATGGTCGTGCTAGTGTCACCCTCCCCCTCTTATGAAATTACGTTTTCCGTTTAAGATTAATTAAAGGGGATGCTTTTGAATCAAGGTTCAATGAGAGCAGATACTCAATAAAACAGTCTTGAGAAAACTGAATCAAAAAGGAAAAATCGCCAAAGCACCGGATTTCGAAAAAGAATGAAAAACAGATCATTCTAACATAGCATGCTAAGATATTTTATTCAAGCAATGAGTTGCCTAAAGACTGTATCGGGATTGCCGGCAAAAATTAACTGTTCGCCAAGCAAAATCTGCTACTTGGGTCAATTGGATGCATGAATTTGAACCTGTGATGCCTTAATTAATTTTATTCGCACAAGAACCACACGGCGATTTACTGTAACATTTAAAAAATTGTGTGAAGTGGTTTTGGGGTTCGCAATTCCGATTTGCACAACGCCTCACAGAGTTAATAGCCGGAATGGCAGTGAAGCGATACACGATGCCTCACTGCATTGTGGTTAATCCATACAGAAGACTCAAATACAAAATTGAATCATAAACAGTGGGAGAGAGCGCGCAACAGAGAAAAGGACAGACCGTTGGGCTAGGGAGAACGTCGGATATTTCCGGAGTGACGAGGTAGGTGGATGGCTTCCGCGCCACAACGGGCTGATTCACTGGCCGAACGAGTGTCAGCTGCACGACGTCGACCTCCTGGGGGAAGGAGCCCTGGCCCTCGGTGGCGCGCTGGGCCGCTAGGGCTCGGTCGTAGCCCTCAGCGCCGAACCGAATGGCTGCCACGGCTTCGTTGTGGGTCATGAAACGCGCGTCCATGCCGTTGATGCTCACAATTAAATCACTCGTACGCAGGCCGTTATCACTGGCTGGGGTGTCCGGGTCCACACCAAGAATTTCCACGGGTCCGGTGCCTTCATGGCAAAAAAAACATGACATCTTCAGACTTGAATCTCCAACTTCTGCTTGATTATTTTCGAGATTTTGCACCAAAATCACTTTAGGGTACAGCGAGTTTATGGTAAAGTGTGTGCTTGATTAATACTAGATGAAAACAATTTTCAAGCATTCAAGGGCACTATAAAATAAAACATTAGGCCTTATTAATTTTCAGAATGCATATTCCGCAAAACCGCTCGCATTTTGGTCTCGCCCGGTTCTGTATTGCATATTTAGAGCCTACGTAATTTTAACTAGTACTATGAATTAAATAAGCGAAACCTGCAAGAGAGGCTCATATTATGGTGGTGTTCGCGTACATTTTGAAAATAAGATGTTAGAATAGACGTAGACCTGATTTTACGCCATTTGACCTGTCTTTAAAAAGAACTTATCGTAACACACACAGCGAAATAGAAATAAAAATTTCATCGATGCACATTAAAAATTAAAAGGTGCAATTTAGAGAAATGAGAACGCTGGCATTCACTTATCACGACAGAAGGTTTGGCATTTCTAAGAGCAGAATGAATAATTTCAGCTGTAATTTGAATCCTCAGAGTAAAGGAGGTGACATCACGGATCCCTGAGTTTCACATCTCAAGTCATAAGTGAAGCAGTGAAACAGAACTACATTAAAAACCTGGGTATTCATTGGGGTTGGAACTAATGTGAAATCAGACTAATTCCATCGTAAACTGATACTCTAGCATTATAAAACGCGTCATGCCGCAACATTTCGAACTATTAGTGAAGGCAAATATTGCAAGCAAGCAAGCAAGCAAGCAAGTACGAAATGCGTGAAGAACACAGATGCACACGACATTACTGTTAAGTGCATTTAGCTACTAAAACGGCACCGGGATCTTGCCTTGGATGCTAAATCCGTACGCCACCTCCTCATTTCGAACCAGCTGGACAGTGTAGGCCTCAGACCAGCATTTCCGCGCGTTGAAGAACTTGAGAGGACCCAGGAGACGAAAGGGGTCCTTGCTTTCTTCGAGCATGTTTTTGCCGGTTTTAAGCACAGGGCTGGTGTCTTTTGGCAGTTGAATTTCACTAGGATGAAATGTTGGAGCGATCCAGGGATTCACCCCCTTCTCCTCAGCACGACTCGATTTTTTGCTGCCAGCAGTTGCCGTTGAAATGACACTCGCGGAATCCCCAGCAGTTGAATGATTGAACGATTTGGATCTCGACAGCCACCGACGACGTGGCTTGGCTACTGGCGGCATATTGCTGGACTGGCCGTTGGCTTTCGTAACGCGAGCGTACTCCTCAGACCACCTGGGAGTTTAAATAAAGGCACGAGAACTCGTCTGCTTACTTTACAAAACACGAAAATACCAAGTGTGCTTATTTTGGGGTTTACTGAATCACCTAGTTTTAAATGTCAAAAACTAATTAGGCAGCATTCGTGGAAACTTTCATTTGCCAAGTTGACTTAGCTTCGAGGACTAGGCACAATTTGAAACAGCAAACAAGCGAAGGCCTTCGATATACCTGGAGGAGAGGCCTGGTCAGAGTTAAAAACGGTCGTTTCAAAAATACGCAAGTTTCTCTAGTACAAAGTCTTTACTCCTCACAAAGCGGTCAGGAAATCCTACGTTAGCTGGTCATTTTAGATGTCATCGATCATGTATTTTTTTTGTAAAAAAAAACTGTAACTCCAAGAGGACAACTTGACTAAACATCAACTAAAACCTGAAGAAAAACCGATTCACAGACATTCCACATAGCACACAATAAAGACGTATCATCGATAAATATTCACGCGAATGTGTACTAAAAAGCAAATGGACAATTATGCACAAGACTATCGCAATACTTGGCATATAACCATGAGTTTTTAAATACTTAGGAACATTTTCGACCCGAATTAGTATAAATGCTAGTTTTAAGGCTAGTGGCATCTGATAGTGATTCATGTCTACGATATTTAGTCTTGGAGCAAAAAAATCTTGGTGGTATTTAACATCACATTGTCGGAGCTGCAGCATAAAATATGCGGAGAAAGTAATTATACGGAAAAAAACAGTAAAGTATTGCTAATTACGTTAATACGTCGTTGTTGACGAAGGCCTTGAAATCGGTCTCGTGGTTTAAGTCAGTGGAACCCTCGATGGTCTGAAGTGCCTGTCGCGCCCACATGATTGCCTCAGCGAGACAAACTTGGCCCAGGAGGTGGGCGTCCTTGCGGGTGGTGGGGGGTTCCACGGCGTCACCCTCGATGCCGGCGAGGTTCGACATGCTGGATGCCGGCGCTGAGGCGGAAGAGTACCCTGACCGAAGGCTCAGAGAGGAGAAACGGCCACTGAAGGAGGACGCATCATCGAATCCTGTGGTCGAGAAGCACGAAACACGTAAGGTTTTCACAAAATGTCTGTTACGATTTCTTACCAATTTTAATCCCTCCAGTGTACAAAATAGTGTCATTATATAATTGCAGCATTTGCAAGTGATAATCACCTTGGCATTGGCAAAAATGTTGACTTGGAAGCCCCTTTAGTCTCTACAATCTTATTAGAAATCGGAAAGTGGGTTTCGGAGCCGTGAGTGGCACACGAAACTGTATTATGGCTTTTGAAAGTAATAGAGATGATATTAATAGGGTAGAGCATTCCAAGGAATCATGTGATTTTCATAAAGGGCTGGGAAAGAGTTTGATCGATGGCTAAAACCATAACTTCAGAGGACTTATGCGAAGGTAACTGAGAAGAAATTTAATTAAAAATTTAAAGGTCATTCTCACTCAAATGGCATCTGCTGCACCTGTACATTTTCATTCCACTTTAAAATTCCCACTGCTCGTTCCACCTAGTCTATGGAACAATAGAAACCGTAATTTACAATTACATTCGATTAGCTAGGACAACACAAATTGAACTACCATGTGACTTGTTCCTTCCAAAGCCGCCAAATGAGAGGCTAGACAGTGTTCGCTTCATTCGAGACTGTGAGCGTGGCAGCCCGTCGGCACCGGTCGCGTACATTGACAACCGATTCCGACGGCGATGGAGGTGACCTCTGCGTCGTTCCCGGACCGCCAGCTTGTGCAGTTGAACGTTGGGTTTTAACACCGAAAATAGGTCACCTGTTGACGAAAAAGGCAGTGTCACTCGATACACGATCGGAAGCACACTCCGCAGACCCATTTCTATCCAGTCTCATTTTCACATGTTCTTCCCATTTTAAATGTTTTCATTCTAGTCCAACATTAGCCACTAACTTTTACGAAACGTGTAATTGGGAACAGTACTTTCTCTGCATGATTGCTGCGTTATAATCGTGACAGCAGTTTTGGACAAAGCCTTGAAAATTTAGCTTAGCTTTGGTAAAGTTTAGGCGTCACAGCCGAAGTATGATTTCGAGATGGCTAAAACACACGAAGACTGATTTTAGTTGACAATATACTAAACCAAAACATACACGTATTACTTTCGTTGCAATTGATTACTTTCGCTACGACATCATTTCGCTTACAAATAAACACGGCACAAAATTCGAAAACGGGAAGGATACAATCGAAAGGAAGGCAGGAGATCGTTTCAGGGGAACCACACAAATGCATTCTGGTTCATGTGTGTTCCCCTACAAACGGTCTCATTTGATGTAAATTATTTGTGATTTTGATTTATTTTGCCTGTGCAGCACTTTACTCAAACTTTGGCTAGAATTATGTAAGTAGAAGGATCGGAAAAAATTTTAAGCTCTATTGATTCTTTTGAATGACGCTTTTAAATTAGGTGTACATTTGAATACAAATGTAGGTGATTAGAAAAATCCACAAAGAATAGTGGGCAATGTTAATAATGTGCCGTGAATTTGCAAAGTTTTGTAACATAAGGTTAGAACAACAGTCAGACCTTAATTAAAGAGCTTTCAACAGCCAGACAAAGAATTAAGTTAGTCATTAAGGAAATGTAAATATAACAAAGATTGCGTCTGTTCAGTGTTCGGCCTGTGAATGATGTCTTGTGGGTAATCAAATTGTTCGTTTAAGCAAGAGTAATTAGGCGAAATTAATTCTGTACGACACTTTAATGCTGAACAGCTCGTAGTAAACAGATTCAAAAAAAGGAAAAATGAAACATTACTGAAGAACGAATGGTATGAAAGGTCAAGGTGTGATAGTATGAAGAAATTACGGGTTCAGCAAATTTTAAAAATAGAGTGTGGGAATAGATTGAACTTCATGGAGTAATTTTCCCGTCACTAAGACAACAGTTGCTGGTTAAAAGTGGACCTACGAAGAAAATTTGTGCCGATCTTGATATTCTATAAAGACTTTCAGCTTTTAACTAATAAATTTGCACGTTATTCTTTTATGTAAACGGTTAGCGTGTAGTTGAGCTTCGACGCGCCCAACAACTTATTTGTTCCAAAGAAGAGTAAGGAAGCTTACTCAAATGCCTTGAAACTTCATTTTCAAGGAACTCGTCATCGTTGAATAGCCCTTCTGGTGGAAGCGGACCAACCTCAAATGGACCGTCAGCTTTCGGTTTCCCACAGATAGCAAGACACAGCAGAGTGGTGGCTAGTTTGTAGTTTATTTGAGCCTGGTAATACTGCGACTTGAGCTCCAAGAGACTGATCCATGACGACGGAATAACTCGCTCTACCTGGGTCCAATCGCTGCTTCCAGAACCCGAGGCGGGTGGTGATGCTAGTTTGCCGAAAATTTCACTCAGCTAAAAAATCAACAAACGTGTACACTACGCCATGGCCTACCTTGTTTTACAATAGCTCTTCCACTTGTTCCACTAAACTTCCAAACAAGGTGGTTTCGCGATTTAGTGCGGGGGTAAAAAAGGTAATACAATGGTCATCAAGTGCTTAGGATCAAGTGGAATCAAAGCTAACTGTACATTAGATATGTACATTTAGCCTTGTGTTGTCAGACAAACGAACTGCAAGCTAATTTGAAGCCATGAATATGCGAGGTCTCCTTCAGAAATTTGAAAAAAAAACTTTTGCTTATGTGTGATGAGTGAAATTTATAATAAGGGCTTGCAATAAATTTGACAATATTTTGTGTTCAGTGAAAATTGAATAAATGAGTATCGGTAATTGTTTATTTTACATAGTTTCATAGGCTAAAGTTGCGGTGAACTGCCAGAGATCTATAGGTCAAATTCCTCAAAATTGCAATGATAAATTTGAATATAACAAATTTTGTTAAAGCAGGAAGTCGTACAAGCAATTAGGCAGGGAGCAATAAACTCACAAAACTTGCGCCACCGATGTACTTTTCGAGATGTATGAAATCACTGTCGTCCTGTGACTCGAGCAATTGCTTCATGAAAAGAGCCTCCTGTGTCTGTGCCTATAACACACCCACGTCAGTATGAATAAGGCCGTAAAAGAAATCGCGAATTTGCAGTGGGACTGCGAGTACGCACTTGCATAACACGAATGAGGAAGTCGAGCACGTCGCTGCTCATGTCTCGACTGGGCGCGTGGGCGAAACTCTCGCGCAAAACCTGCAAGTTTGCACGGGCCTGCATGAACATTTGCACTTGTTCCGTCAGCGCCTCCACCGATGCCTCACTCTAAAACACACAGCCACTTATATATGTGTATATATTAATCTGTAATGGGCTGAAGGAAAAATTACTTGCAAAACATAAACTAAGCCATAGCAAATCTCCTAGGCAAGTAAAATAGCAGGACGTTTTGTAAAACGAACAACCTTAAAAGCACTGGGGACGACGAAAAGACACGTATTTTGCGTTTAATTAGCGGTTTAGACGAAAATGCGACCGAAAAGGCAGGTGTCACCTACCACCTCAAGCACGTAGAGGAGCAGGTAAGGGTTCATTTTGTGAGATGCCCTCAACAGAAGCCATCGTTTCTCACGCAGATCGAAGGTACATATTTTGAAATGATCTCCATGTTTACTAAAGGGGTTTCTGATATGTGGGCATAAAAAATCAACAATAACTAATCAAGAAAGCTCTCTCAAATGTTTTTGATAAAAAATGAGAATGGGCTTTCGTTAAAGGAAAATTCCAGGTAAAAACTAAGAAGAATGCATTGGTTTGAAGACATTTTTTCGCCGCAGCGAAACAAAGTCGAAACGGAACAATATCAATTCAGTTATTAAGGAATGGGCTGAAGCCCAGAAGCCCGCTTTACTGTGAGAATGCATGGCAAAATAAAACGAACAGAACTGCAAGACAGCAAGTCGAGCTTATAGTTTGCAACTTGGCAGTAGTTCACAGCGATCAGACAATGAGGGAACAAGAAAGCCAAAGTGTTTTAGAGAAACATTAAGCGATTTTATAACTGAAAATCCGCCAATAACCTTTGAGGCGGTTGGCGTAAATTATATTAATAGTAAATTTGATGACAAAAGCACGTGCCGCGGCTTCTGTAAACAACCGCACAGTAGAAACACTTAGTGATCTATATGCTTTCAAAACATATGAGTCGGACATGGGTTTAATTTAATGTTAAGAGCTGTGTTGACAAGCTATGGTACTGCAATACGCGCTGTGTGTTGAAGTCAAATAGTCTGAATTGTGCACTTATTACCAGCTTGTCATCACGGGCTTACAGTAAAAGCCCAACTTTAGCAGGACTAAGGCGTGTGGGCTTTCCCGAATTTACGAAGGGATTATTTCACTAGAAAAGAGACTTCAGTTAGTGCAGCATTACTTAACATCAGATTTAAATGCAATAGAACCCTGCCCAAATTGAGGTGAGAGCACTACCTTTCATAAACCAATGCATTTGACATAACTTGAATTTAATCAAAGTAAGTTGCTAGGTGGAAAGCAAACTTTTAAAATGTGAAAGATTCACCAATGATGGAAAGGCTCATTCAGCTAATTACAGTATTAGTGCATGCACTCAAAAAGGTGCGTGTGAAAAAGAATCAGAAACAAATGCTCAATCAAAGGTAACGCAAGCTGACAAGTCGTTTGGCTGAGGCGCAGTCCTCTGTTCTAAGGTGAGAAGGCACTGACGTCCAATAATTTGTGCGCTTTGAGACAAAATTATGCACAGGCAAGTCAATGGCTATTTGCAAGCTAAATGAGCTCAGGCGCGTATGTATATTTGTGCACCAATAAAAATAATGGCTTAGTGACAAATCGACTGTGAAGGGAGTCAGCTTCAAGAACACACGGAAAGTTGCCAATGCTTTTATCATTGTAACTGAATTTATGCTAAAGTATGAGTTTTTTTTATGCTTTGAAAGGAATCAAGCTTCTACAAACCCAGTGCTTGAATGCGCAGATATCATTAAATCGATAAATCAACCATTACGTTTGCTCGTAACCAAGATAAATCCACTCAGGTAAACGGTACCAGATCCCTTGTCTGACACAAGAACCGACCTTCTTACAATCATGAAAGACAAGACGAGAGCTTGCGCAGAGAGCTTTAGTGGTCGCAGCTAAAGAGCGAGTGGTCTGTCATAAAGTGAACATTTATATGAGTCATGGGTGACCTTAACCTGATGGATTAAAACGAATTGACACAGACGTTACGGAATTAGTGTAAATAATGACGAATTCGGCGATGAACCATCTTGGGGAATCCTGGAACCCAACACCTACTTAAAAAAGAACCTGACTAAAACATCACAATCTGATTAAAGGGACACTGATTCTTTGTCTAGAGAGACTTTTGTAACTTGAGTTAATTAACCATCCTTGGCAAATTTTCCGATCAAATTTTATTGAGAGATGTAAGAACTCGTGGAAGAACTAGATGACAAAGGTAGAATTCACAGACATTGGCTATGATTCATAAAGCCCCAATTGGGTTATGCCATTGGAAGCAATGAGATTTTGATTGCAAAAATTTTGCATTAGAAGGTAATTTGGGGATTTAGTGAGTCAGTGAATCGAAGGCAATTTAATAGGCTCATAATATAGACCTTAACCTGTCATATTTTCTGTATCGTACAAAGCCGTTATTCACTACTAAATTATTCCTAATCAATATTTTATAGTCCGAATAATGGTCAATTCAACTGAGCGGATAACTACCTGTGAAATCTGCAGTGCCAGATTTATTGTGTGAGGATACATTTAGCTTCAATGCGTTCCATAACTGGGTGCCGCAGGCAACAGAGATCAGTAAGCTAGTTCATTTTAATTGAACTATGCTGAGTTATGGGCAGATTTATCATGAATGACATATTTAAAAAGCACCCCATTATTTTCATTGGACTCGATTAAAGCTTTTTTATCACTATAATTTTGAACAAAAGTGTTAAGTTTAATTGATTCCGCATCTGGTGCAGGAACACTTTGGTATGACAAACATTAGAAGGATAAGCCAGGCTTTTGGACGCAATTTGCGAGTGTACGTGCAAATGTGCAGATGAAAAAGCAATATCAAAACTTGCATTGCCTGGATTATGGACCAATATTTATTAGCTTCTGTTTATAACCGACATGCACATTTTTGCACAAAGGTTTATTTGATTTAGGCAGTTTTAAGGTTATTTTGCATAAATAAATACAGTGGAGCCTGAATTAGGAAAGTGTTGTTCTCTAGAGGTAAGCATACGGTCTAAACCGATGCACAAAACCATCGACACATGACGCGGCGATCCTGAGTAAGCGCGAGTTTTGCAGAAGGAAAATTTCATGCTGTGCGAATCGCTGGTACTCGACAGTGATAAGGCGTAGTGTGGCTCGCTTGCGTGTATGGGTGTGTAGGTCTGTAATCCTATATTTGTTTGGTTGCATAGTTAGGCAGTAAATAGCAACAATAACCGTGCTAGAATACTATCAAGTTTCTTGACAAAAATATTTTGCTTGACATTTAGCAAAGGGTTTTATGCATGCATAAAAGTGGTCAGGAGCACAATTAAATATTTGTGAAAAAATATTAGTTGAAGTAAAATTGGCTATAGGTAATCGAAATACGAAATCAGTTTACACTTAGCGAAAAGAGTGCTCATAAAAAAACTTGTTACTTAAGAAGGCTATTCACATCCTGTGACACCTTGGCACAGATAACTGCATCTCAGCTGTGCAACAGTATTTTCGGCAGAGGGGATGCATTAAGACAAAAAATTTAAAACGGTTTCATGGATGAACCTGCTATTTAGGCTTTGTTGCCGGCACAGAGCGATCCACACGAAATTTTTCCTTTAATGTAAAAATTTTATTGATAGTAATTATTTGGGTTTCGATATTTTAGTGGAATCGATTAAGTCAGACGGGTCAGTGAGCTGAAAAAGTCAAGTAATAAACGCGGGTGACAGGAATCTTACACTTGCAGTTGCGATTTGTGAACAGAGGGCAGCGTAGTTAAAGATTAGGGCACCTTTTTCGAAAGCCGGAGATCTCTGACTGTGTCGTTCCCCTGTAAATGCATCAGACCTACAAACAAAGCCAAACATAAGCGAAACGAGTACTGAACGCACATGGGGGACGCTAAGACACCCCAGTTCGTGTGGATAGTATCATCCAGTTCTGAGTATAGTTCGTCACTCAATGCCAATAACAGCACATGAATACTGCGCACAACTAAACAAGGCATGGGAAAATGAGCCGTTTGTGTAAGCGAGGAGTTATAAACTTTGATATAGTCTGAGTGGTGAATACTAGGAACAAGTCAGCATTGAAAAAAGAACAGAAATGTGGAATTACAAGAACTCAAAATGACATTTTGGAGGTAATACCCTTCATGCACAAACTCACACCTGCTAGACTCGCACCGTATAAACAAACTGAAGACAGGACTTTCCTTGAATGCCAGCCTGTCTGAGACACTTTTAACATTCCACATCATAAGTTTACATCAGTGATACCTGCAGGGAAGTCAACCCATTGATAAAACTAAGACCGCAGGGGCAAAGCTACCATAACAACGGACCCACTTTTAAACCATGTATCACTCGGTAAACCCATCGTGAAATCCCAAAATCAAACAGATTTTTTCCGAACCATGTTTAGAGGATGGTTATGCCAGTGCCATACAAAATTCACTCTAATCTTATACGATAGTCGCAATAACAAAACTTCTACAGGCTTACATAAACTAAGTCAAATGAAAGATTTATACAAGAATCACGGCAAATGGTGCTCGCTGGAAAAGTGTTAATTCACTTCGGTAATCATCATATGAAAAAACACATTTTTTGGCAATCGACAACAGTAGCATGCCTGTAAGGCAACATGTTTGGTTTTACCTCTAGATTATTTGACGCTTAACTACAGCACAGAAGTTACTGAAACGTCACCCTAAACGTGATTCAGCGAGGTGGAGTTGGCTGAGGGCAGAAGCTAGTTACAGTCTTTGCATGCATAATTAAATCGTCGAAACAGTTATGTTTTCAAGATGGCGGCACCATCTTCACTCACGGACGTCGTTTCTGCGCGACAGTCATCTTTCTGTGAGTAAATGTGAGCGACAAACCTTCCTACCATGACTAATCATTTGCTGCGGTTAATTTGAGAAGAATTATCTAACAATGAGAAGTTATGGAAGAAATATGAGCAATTTACTACCCATTGGAAGAGGCTCGAAGTAATTTCGTTTACATCTGAGTTAATTGGGACGGAGTTCCCTCACAAAACATGAATTATTGGAGCTTGGCTTACAGTAGTTGGGATAATCATTCTGTGATGTGAGTCTAGAGATATTCATTTATTAAAAAGTGCGAATGGAAGTTTAATACAATCCGTTGTAAAAACAAACATTGTAAATAATTGGCTTTCACGGGCTCCACCACATATAAAATAGAACTTACCACGAAAATCGGAATCCGTGATGGACGGACACGTCGAAAAATCGGCGTTCAATGGTGTTCAACAGGTCGTAGTACTTCCGGAAGTCTCGAAGCCCACTTAACGAACGCCGTGGCTCACTAACAGCCTGTTAGAAATCAATTCGATAGATGCAATGGCATAAAAACGTAAAATGTCAGAAAGGTCCGAAACATTAAAGATAGAGTGCCTAAAATGTGTAGCAATTTTATTCAAGAGTACAAAGTAGGTGGTCGTTTTCTTAACAGTTGTTTTGAAATTACACTTATGCAGAAACCTTTAACAGTTTGTTTAAAGTATTACATTTTTAAATCAAAAACATCTTAAGTTTACGGATTTCAGACGAAATTGCCGTGGTTAAATACAATTTTCGATTCTATTTTCTAAGACACATTTGAGACTAAGAATTTTTATCCAGTCTTTGCTTGAGTACGCTCAATGTAAAAGAATTAATTGCAACACTAATTAGACCTCGAAAAATGATCGAATGCGTCATTAGTGACAAAAGTGGCATATTTCCTAACCTCGTTGTCAAAGCGCCCGAGCAGTCGTAACTAGGGGAACAAAATTTCTATTTGTTTGAAACAATAAAGTGTGGCGGACATGTGCGCAAACACAACCCAGGCGAGGTCAAGGTCGCTAGAAAAGAGGCAAATCATCGTCGCGAGCTCACAGAGACTGCAGCTGCTGCATTGTGTATTTACACAAAACAGTTGGTTTGTATAACCCAAACGCTACGAAATCACACAAAATCTGACGGGAAAATAAGCATCAAATGCTTTCGTAGTGTCACACATATCTGTCAAGTCATGGCAGTTTAAAAACGATTTTATTGAAATTACCTCCAAAGCAAATATTGCTTTTTCTAATCAGACAGAAGGTTAAGGATTGCATAGACAAAACTAATTTTGAGGGCAGCAAGTGGATAATATAGACTAGATAAATTCTATCACTTGTTCACACAAATGACTGACTAGAATGGCCTGATTTATATCTAAAGCAAATTTTTAAAATAATCAAGGATCAGTTTTGTATATCTGAAGTAATGTTTTGTCGTGTGTAAGTTAACTATTCATACCTCTCGGTAGAGTGTAAGTTGCTCAAGTGCTTTACTGAACTTTGATGGATCTTGATGGTAATGAGAAGAGATGAAAGGTGAAAGAACTTCTTTAAAGTCGACGGGATCTGTGTCCTTAAGACCAATGGGAATCATTGGCAAGCGCGATCTACAATGCAAGATGTTCATTAGTGCTAAGTTGGGTACGAGTGCACCCAATAGGACTTCAACTAATATCCTGAAGGAAATTTTTATACTGTAACAGTGACTAGAAAACATACGTGCTTAGCGTCACTGTAGGGATGCGATTATGAAACGAAGGTAAAATGAAGCTAAAGAACAAATAAATATTCAAAAACTGCACCCATGTTTTCATTTTGGGTGATTTTTAAGCTGATTGCACTGAAGCGACATCACTCTTTGCTTTTTGCTCAATGTGAAAGGAGTGGTTTAAAAACCCAGATTTACATCTGCACCAAAAAAAATTTGTGCCTTTAGTAGAGTTTAAATTTGTTTTTTATTATCTGATCACAGCATCTCAAATCCTCTTTTAATTACTTGGAACAAGCCCAATCAGGTGTGGTGCGGATGACGAATGCACAACTCGTGCACAAACATTAACGCACAGGTTCGTAGTGAGGCATATGAAATTTACATTGATAGCTTTAATTAGGTGTAGGTCTCAACACATGTGCTGGTAATTCCAAAAGGAAATCATGAAAAAATAATCACAACAGTTCCTAGTGGCAAAGGACAAATTAGAAAACCATGAACACATTAAGGTACGCTTTAATTGGGTAATAGAAAAGCAAAATAACTATCATTGTCATTCAGATTATTTGTACCAATTGTAGTCGATTAAATTCTAAGACAATGTTGTTTTGGTGTCAGCAAACATCTAGAGTACAAATCTCAAATAGCTACTACCTAGCAGAAAAGCTAAAAGCATCAAGCACACTCAAGACCACATTAAATTGGAGGTTTTTCACCAACAAATATCCGTAGTTTTACGACCTCACTAATATTGTCTCAGGTATTTAGTCCCCGTTAGAGAATTTAGTTAGTAAACAGCATTAAAAGTAAAGTCAAAAAGTGTCATGGGCGACAAGATCAAGAACGCCAAAAGGGAATCTCCACCATTTCGAAAGACAAGCATACTCTCGCAAGAGAACTTCTGGTCTGAAATATTAAACGTTTCCAATATGACAACATGTTCCCTTCTTCCAATTTTAGACACAGAATTTTGAAAATTTAAATTGTCAGAATAATTTTGATGACATACATCTATGTTATTATGTTCAAATGAGCTTTTATGCTGAATGGTTAAAGCTTCCAGGGTGATACAATGCCCTTATCATGCAATTTTAGATTGTTAATTCAGATTAATTATTCTGAGATAAGTTTTTGGCATTAAGTTGGCATTCACAATCGCTTCAGTGTATGGGGAAAATCAGCTGTTTATCCACGCTTACTAATCGATCGAAGCGTAACTATTGGTGCCATTCAAAACGACGCCACTAATTGTCAGCGTCAAAGCGCGTCACTCCCCGTTTTCACTTCTGAGGTTAATTTCATCATGAAGTCTATTATTGCTCGTCAAATATTTGATAGCCGTGGAAATCCAACTGTAGAGGTAGATCTAACCACCAGCAAAGGGATGTTCCGTGCAGCAGTACCAAGTGGGGCTTCAACTGGCGTCCATGAAGCTCTCGAACTGAGAGACGGTGTAAAAAATGAATACCGTGGTCTTGGTGTTTTAAAGGCCGTGAATAATATTAACCGCATCATTGGCCCTGCCCTTTGTCAAAAAAATTTCAGCATGTCAAACCAACAAGAAATCGATATGTTCATGGTGAAGGAACTTGATGGCACTGAAAACAAGAAAAAGCTAGGAGCAAATGCGATCCTTGGAGTGTCACTGGCAGTTGCAAAGGCAGGTGCTGCAGAAAAAAATGTCCCGCTATATCGGCACTTTGCAGATCTTGCTGGAAACCGTGACATAATCCTTCCAGTGCCCTCATTCAATGTTCTGAACGGTGGTAGTCATGCTGGCAATAGGCTTGCTATCCAGGAATTTATGATTATGCCAACTGGGGCCAAGACATTTAGCGAAGCCATGAAGATGGGCAGCGAAACCTACCACTCCCTGAGGGCTGTCATCAAGAATAAATACGGTATAGATGCCTGTAACGTTGGGGATGAAGGGGGTTTCGCACCCAGCATCCAGGACAATTTTGAAGCTTTAGAACTCCTTAAGGAAGCCATTGACAAGGCGGGTTACACAGGCAAGATAAAAATAAGCATGGATGCTGCATCGTCTGAGTTCTTTAAAGAGGGTCTCTATGATCTCAATTTCAAAAATCCCGATTCGAAGAAAGAAGATTGGATTTCTTCGGACAAGATGATTGAAATGTTCAATTCAATGGTTGACAAGTATCCTATTGTGAGCATTGAAGACCCATTCGACCAAGATGATTGGAACTCATGGATAACTTATACTGGTCAGGCTGGTATTCAAGTTGTAGGCGATGACCTAACTGTGACAAACCCTTCCCGAGTCCAAAAGGCTATCGACTCAAAGGCTTGCAATGCTCTTCTCTTGAAAGTTAACCAGATAGGGACAATTACCGAAGCTATCGAAGCCTGTAATATGGCTAGGAAGGCCGGCTGGGGTGTCATGGTGTCTCATA